TGAAGGATAGAGATAGAGATCTTTGTGAATTAGTAGTTTCTTGGTTCTAATTGCCAGTTATTCTGAAAGGTTTTTTGAATTTTTGCCTTTAGGGGCTAACAGCTTTATTTACTTGAAAAAAAGTATTTGGCTGCTAGTTGGTAAACAGTAGCCCTCCCCCAGATGTTCCTCACTTTTAACCTAGGTCCCTCCCTCTTGATCTACAAATCTTAATGTTTGGCACAGCAGGGGAACTAGGGCCCTACTCTTGCATCCATTTCAATACCATCCCCCATCACCACTACACACAAATTCCTGCCTCTGACACTGACATTGCCATTGGCATTTGTGAATCCTAGAGGACTGGCTCCAGCCTCACATGAGCCTCTCCTGGGATTTCTAGTTGGGGAGCTGTACTATTCTAGTGGCTACTAGCCGCTTCTATCACTGCTTCTCATTCGGCCTAAATGTGGCAGAGGAATTATGTTCCTGGTGGTAGTAGTGTTGATTAGCTCTTGGAGGCTGTAGCTTCCATTCTCTGGAGTCACCATTATGTGGATGCTGGTGGGAATTATAGCATGAGTGGGACTCTGGTTCTGGGAGAGCTGAGGAAATGATAATGGAATTTAAGGCATTAGCACCTAGCCCTAGCTGAGGACCCCAACAGCACAATGGGTCCTTGAGAAATAGGAGGTAGATTATGGTGGATGAATGGGGCTTATGGAATATAGTTTGAGGTCTGAAGATGCTCTTGGGTAGTCTTTTTATCGTTTTGGTGAATTTTACCTCCATTTATTGAAAACCACTGAATACCACATTTTTATAAATTAAAAAAGAGGGCTAAACCCTTGCTTTGTGCCAAATTTAAAGAGTCACCAAAATGATGGTTCAATCATTTACTTCACCATCACTATCCAGCACTAATCACTATGTGGGTGATCAATTGAACCTTAGTTGTTTTCTAAATGGATTTTTTTTCCTTGTTATTTCAGTGCTGGGTATTGAACCCAGGGACATTCTACCACTGAACTACATCCTCAGACCTTTTAATTTTTTTTTTTATTTTGAGACGGGGTCTTGCTAAGTTGCCTCAGCCTCTCAAGTTGCTAGGATTACAGGTGATAACCAATACACCCAGCCTAAATGGAAGGTTTTATAATAGCTCTCTGGCTTCACCAGCACCAGTGAATACTGGAAGTGGTAGTGTGGATTAAACTTAACCTTTAGTTTATAAATTGCAGAACAATGAAGCAGTGATATCACTTGGAGAATGTGGTCGGTGATCCCAATGGTATCACCTTGTAATGCAGCAGTTTACTGGCTGTGGAAGGATGAAGAAGTTTTCTGCCAGTTAGTGTTTTCATCATGTAATTATCATCTACATGAGTAAAATGATAAATTATTTAATGGAAATGAGAAAGCATTTTTTCCTTGTTTACTAAATGCTTATTGGATAGAGCACAAATTAGAGCTCTGTTTGAAAATTCTCAAAATATATGTCATAATTTACAAATGAGTTAAGGCTTGGAAAAAGTCAACAGTTTTATCTTTATTAATAGAATGGAGGAAAAAATAAGTTTCAAATACTTTATGGTTTAAAAATCTTGTTCTTGAATAAAAACAATTTCCAGTATTTTACACATTTATTCATGCAAGACAAAAATTTATATGCTAATTAAGGCTAAAATTAAACAATTTGCTATTGAAAACCTGCAGCTAAGAGGTGACTAATTTAAGTTTCCCAATATGAAAGAAAAAGAAATCATTTTACTCAAATGAATTGATTTTTGCAATAATTAGTTTGGCTTTGTTTTTCTTGCTAGCCTTTTACATTTGAACAAGAGCAGGAAATGTTTTCATCCTTAATCTTTCAACTTCTGCTTGTAGTATTGAAATCTGTTCAGCCTGTTGTTTTGAAATATTTGTCAGCTTCTGTTGTTGCACCATGTTTTTATATCGTTCTTTGACAATCTTTTCACAAGTCAGTTGCGTCCCTATCCCAAAAGTGAAGAAGGAAGGAATAAGTTGGATTATTATTAATGCTTTAGGGTATAGGAACAGCACTCAAGTCAGTGTATGGAAGAAACACTGGTAGCTTTATAACTATTCTTATAAAGTTTTCAGGAGTATAGACTTTAAAGAAAATCTATTGTTGATTAAAGGGAAAAAGCTTACCCATTGCATTGCAGATGTCTTTTCTCTCTGACACAGCTACCAACTCTTCTCGTAGATTGCAGCTTAGAGTGTAATTTGCTACATCTTTTTGATTACTGAATTTTTCCAATTTTTTGAGTAGTTTTTTGCAGTTTTCGACATTCTTTTTGTGGGTCTGAAAGTTTTATTCCCATGAAGCCCCACAAAGTAATTTTGAAAAAAAATGTAATTTATATATTAAAAAAGTTATCATCACTAAGATAACATCTTACACCATATCCCCAGTGCCCGGTGTACTGTCCATCCCTAGTAGTCACTCAAATTATTTGTTTAAAGATATTTAAAAAACCTTTTGTATGTTCTTAAAAATGAGATAATTTTTGAGATTACTTTGTTTTCATATTACATGTACTACATAATCAAAATTAAGCATTTGTTTTTCAGTTAAGACAAAGCTTTTATTTACAATGCTAAGGAAAATTACCAACACTTACAATATGTCCCCAGAGGTTAATTTTAATCTTTAAAAATGTGCTTCAGGGCTGGGGTTGTGGCTCAGTGGTGGCATGCTTGAGGCCCTGGGTTCAATCCTCAGCACCACATAAAGATAAATAAATTAAGGTATTTATTTAATTGTCCATCTGCTTTAGTCTGTGCCACTGGTTATGGTCGCCACTGTTTATGGCTGCAAAGACACTATTATTCAGAGACCTGTAATTACTTTGAAAACTGGGAAATAAGCAAGGTTTTGTTAGGTTTTGTCGGAGTTCATAATTGAAACACTGATTCCTTTGCTCAAAGAATCCACACAACTCTTGGGTTTACAGTGATCAATATCATTGAGACTTACCTTATCTATAACTTGAATGGTTTGCTCCATTATTCCAATCTGAATAGCAATCAGAGTCTCGTAGTTCGATTCATTTAGGTACTTCAAGAGGGGAAAAAAAAAACCCACAAATAAGGATATTTTTTCTTTCTTTGAATGGATAAATACATAAAGAGTGAACCCAGAGGCCCTCTACCAATGAGCCACACTCCCAGGTCCTTTTATTTTATTTTGGGACAGTGTCTTTGCTACGTTTCTGAGGCTAGATCTTCTTGCCTCAGCCTCCCCGGTTACCGGGATTATAGGAGTGTACCACTATTTCAGACCTTATTCTGAAAATTATTGTTTTGATATTGAGTTGATTGAGTCAATTTTCTTTCAGCTCATCAAACAAGTTACCCACATTAACAGTGTTCCAGTTAAAGATACTGAGGGAAATTAAAAAAAGGACATGTAGCATGACCTACTCTTCAAAAAAACGAGAAGATAGAGATTTTTGCAAATTTACAGCATTTTTCCACACTTATGAAATTAAGAGAGGCTTTACAAGGAGGTGATGTTTAAACAAAACATGGGAAAAGTGGTAGGTTTGGGATGTTAAAATTAAAAAAAAGAATGTCTTTCCAGATAGAAGAATTGGTATGAGCAAAGACACAGAGGTAGAAGCCTAAAAAAAAATTGGTACTCCATTTGATTTGAGAGTACTAATAGTAGGAAATGAGATTAATACCCAGAACTGATAGTGGTATACCGAGGAGCTATCAGTAGGGAATAAAACAGAATTTGAGGGAAGTCACGGATGGAGGGTTAGATCCAGAGAGCTTAGATTCAACTTTAAATGTGATCACTGTTAGAAACATAGAGGTGGATCCTCAAAGGAGAGGACATGGGGGAAAATAGTGCTAAGGCTGATTTTTTTTTTCTTCTCCTTTCTCTCTCTTTGTGTAACTGGGGATTGAACCCAGGAACCCAGGGGTGCTATGCCACTGAGTTACATCTCCAAGTCCTTTTTATTTTTGAGATAGGATCTTGCTGAGTTTGTCATGCTGGCCTCCAACTTGGGGTTGGGGTCCTCTTGCCCCAGCTCTTCAAATTCAGGAATGTTTTACTATGCCCCAGACTAAGGCACACTCTTAAAGAATGACATTAGAGGAAAAGGAGGAGAAAATGGGGGTCATACAAGGCAAAGGAATGAGTAATTAAGGTGGTCAAATGCTACAAAGAATTGAAGGCTGATAGAGACTGGGAAAAAAAAGCCCTGGATTTAACAAATAGGAAATCTTTAGTGAACTATAAGAGAACTGTGCTACTGAATGGGTCATGAAGATGTGTAGGCAACTACTGGAAGAAAAATAACTCATTCACATATTCACCTAGGAAAGACTTCTAGCTCAGAATATACTTGACATCATGGAGGCTTCTTATTAAATGCCAGTTAAATGAACAAATGTATGAATGGATAAAATTAAAACTGTGTAGAGGGCAGGGAGAACTTGCCTTTTGACGCTGTCTTGAAAAAAACAGCATCTGAATATCCCAGGCCTTCTGATTTAGGTCTTCCATTTCCATCTCCATTTTCTTATGTTCCCACTCAATTTGATATATTCCTTTGTGTACCTCTTTACTTTCCATCATGCTAGCAACTTTCTTTTGACCTTGAGTCTTAAAAAAAAATTATTTAATATTCATATAACATGATTCTGCATGCAAAATTATGGAAGATTTGAAGTTGAATGTTATTCTCAGAAAATACTTGAATCACAGAGAATACTTGAATCACAGAGATAATTCTCTTAATGTGGTGCTGAAGATTGAACCTAGGGCAAGTGCTCTACCACTGAGCCACTACCCCAGCCCTAATTCCATCTTTATAAAAAAAACTTAGTCAAAATCTGATCACTTACAGTGACTAAATAGAAGGGACAGAAACATTTAATAAAGTTGATTTATTTTAGACATGCCCTCTCATCTGATGTCTTGGAATAGCAGTCCCACCCCACCCCCCCCTTTCCTTTGAATTACCTATATGAAATTCAGGAAAAAAAAAATTTTGGTACCAGGGATTGAACCCAGGGATGCTTAACCGCTGAGCCCTATCTCAAACTTGCTAAATTGATAAGGGCCTCACTGAGTTGCTGAAACTGGCTTTGGATTTGTCATCTTCCTGCCTCAAGCCTCCCAAGTTCTTGGGATTATGTATGTTCGCCACCACACCTGGCAAATTCAGGAAATTTTTAAAGAAATTATTCTCCAAGACTGCTAATAATAAAACAATGGTGTTTCTAAGACAATTAACATTCTTGTATTAATTTAAGATTTTACATTTTTCTCTTTTCCAGTCTAGCTGTTCAAAGGTCATACCATCTCTCTTTTCTATTACTTTCATCTTCTGATTGTAGTCTGGGCCTCTCATTTCCTTACTTTCCGTGACCTTTTCTCCCTTGCACTTCAGCTGGCTACCTCCCATGGTCATACCTCTGATATTTATCATCAATAGCTCCAAAATGTAAAGTTAAAACATTTTTTCAGAACACTGTTTCTCAACTGGGCGAAACATCCCTTCATCAGGGGACAATGTGCTTATGCTATGCCTAGAGACATTTCTGGTTGACACAACTGGAGGGGTTACTATAGGTACCCAGTAGGTAAAGGCTGTGCATGCTGCTAATCATCCTGCAGAGTGCAGAGCCGTCTTCTGCAACAAATAACCTTCTGGCCTCAGATGTTTGGAGCGCCAGGCCTGAGACGATACTTTAGAGCTACTTCTCCCGTGTGCTTTCCATCAGTCATCTTTTTTGTAGGATGCAGTTATAGACACTATCTTCACTTTACTGTTTTATATTATTTGACCTTTACCAATTGGTGAAGACAGACCTTGCATCAGCAATCTAACTTTATAACTTATGGCATTAGAAAAAGAACAAACTAATCCAAGGCCATCAAGAAGATTAGAACAGAAAGTTGGTTCTTGGGGAAAAATAATTAACAGAATTGGCAAAACTTTAGCTTGAATAGGAAAAACCAAAAACTCAATTATCCAAAATTAGAAATGTAATCAGAGACATTATTAAACGCTACTTAAATTACAGACTAATGAAAATTACATTAACAGTGAATAAAACTATGCCATGTTAGAATGAACATTTAACTCCATGTCTTAACGTATTATCTGTGGAAGTTTTAAAAAATACTCATACCTGGAGATAGGATCTATGCACAGGTTATTCTAATGTGCAGCAACTGTTATGATTTATCACGGATTATCAGGATTAAAATTATTTGTCATGGGGCTGGGGATGTGGCTCAAGCGGTAGCATGCTCATTTTGATCCTCAACACCACATAAAAATAAAGATAAAAAATTTATTTGTCCTGGAAATGAGGGAATAATGTAAAGTATAACTACCCGAATTACAGAATTCAAGTCTTCAATTATGGTCTTATTCATGAGAATTGCATCAGAATACTCCAGGATTAGTTGGAAATTCTCTAGTTCTACTTGTCCTTGCTTAAGAAGAATTTGGATGGTCAAATTCAACTGGAATTTCACTTTCTCGTCCTGTAATCTAAATGGAAATAGGCTTTAAATAAGTAGGTATAGTACATTTACATATCAAATTTAATATAAGTAGGTATAGTACATTTACATATCAAATTTAATATAAAATTCAGATCAGCTAAAAGAACATCCTGGAGATTAGTGTGAAGAATATTTTCCCAAGTGATTAGCTTTCCTGGACACCCCAGTGATACTCCATCCTACTGATTTGCAATATAATTGAATTGTTCAGAGAATACTATGGACAGAAATATATCCACAAATTTCTACTCTAGGATTAAGAAAAGATGGTAGGATTTTGATTGTAATAAAAATAAAGTTAAAGCCAGGCATAGTGGTGCATATCTGTAATCCCAGTGATGGGGGAGCCTGAAGCAGGAAGATTGCAAGTTCGAGGCCAACCTCAGCAACTTAGCAAGATCCTGTCTCAGAATAAAAAATAAAAAGGACTAGGGATGGAACTTAGTGATAAAGACCCTTGGGGTTCATTCCTAGTGCAATGAATAATAAAAATGAAAATATAGAGATGCTGCCAAGTGTTTAGAGTCCATTAAAGTTGACTATTGATTTCTGATACTGTACTAACAATATTTAATCCATGTTCTACTTATCAAATCTAATTGTGCAAAATTCATATTTCTCCCGGTAGTCTAGAAGTCTAGATCTAAAAATGGTGAATGATGATAAATTTGGGAATATCAGAGATGAAATTTATCCATGAAGTCATCAATATGGCGTTTTTTTTCCCTTAAGTTACAGATGGACACATTGTTTTACTTTATGTGGTGCTGAGGATCCAACCCCGTAACCCAGTGTCTCACGCATGCTAGGCGAGCTCTCTACCTCTGAGCCACAACCCCAGCCCTCAGTGTGACCTTTTGAAGCAGGGACTTAAGAGTATGCAAATCACTCAATAAAAAACAACACTGTCCCTGAAAAACATGGAGCTGGGAGGTGTCTGTGTGGTCACTGCTTGGACATGTGCTTAATGTTCCACATAGTTTTATGTCTTAATCCCCCACACACTGAAACAAGTCTTATGTGACAAAATGTGCTCTTTTCACTTAGGCAATAGAGCAGAGACCCTGCGCCTGTTGGAAGGAAGAGTAGGCACAGATCTCTACCATATCGGCCTAGGAACTGAATACCTTGGCTCAAAGACTCAAAGAGTAAAAGAAATAAGATCAAAAATCAATAAATGGGATGGACTCAAACTTTAAAAAGCTTCTTCACAGCAAAGGAAACAATGTGAAGAGAGAGCCTACAGAATGGGAAAAATTTATCACATTCAACTCAGAGCATTAATCTCCAGGATACATAAAGAACTTTAAAAATTTAACACCAAAAAAACCCCAAAAACCCCCAAATAACCCTATCAATAAATGGGCTAAGGAACTGAACAGACGCTTCACAGAAGAAGAAACACAATCAACAAATATATGGAAAAAATATTATAACATCCTAGCAATTAGAGAAAAGCAAAACTACACTGAGATTACATCTCATCCAGTAAGAATGGCAATCATCAAGAATATAAGCAACAATAAATGTTGGCGAGGTACACTCAAATATTGCTGGTGGGACTGCAAATGGGTGCAGCTACTATGGAAGCAGTATGGCCATATCTCAGAAAACTTGGAATGGAACCACCATTTGACCCAGTTACCTCACTCCTAGGTTTATACCCAAAAGACTTAAAATCAGCAGCCTACTACAGCGACACAGCCACATCAGTGTTTGTAGCAGCTAAACTATGGAATCAACCTAGGTACCTTTCAACAGATAAAAGAAATTGGTATATATACACAGTGGAATATTCCTTAGCCTTAAAGAAGAATGAAATAATGGCATTTGCCAATAAATGGATGCAACTGGAGAATATTCTGCCAAGTAAAATAAGCCAATCCCAGAACCAAAGGCTGATACTAATTCACAACAAGGGGATGGTGGGGGAGAATAGTGGTATTCAGGAGTGGAGGGGGAGGGGAGGGGGTGTGGGGTTGGAATGATAGTAGAAAGAATCTGACATTATTACCCATGTGCATAAATGATTTACGTGACTTGAGTAACTATATCATGTATAACCAGACAAATGAGAAGTTATACTCATATATGTTTTATGTGCTAAAATGCATTCTCATGTATAAGTAATTAGAGTAAATTTACAAAATGTGCTCTTTAGTATAGAAATTTTCAACCCAGTGCTAGGATTGAAAGGGATTCAGATGGATGGGTTTGCACAGATTTGAACAGCCAGTAGGCATTTTCCCCATGAGCACTGCCACCTGAGACAGCTCAAGACTGAATAGGTAAACCTGAATGAGAGGTTCGCATTACAGGAGGAGTTCATGGAACACTTTTTCAATCTCGCGTTGCACATGTTCATCATCCTCAACTCTCTTCCGGAGGAAAGCCATCATTTCAACTAAGCCAGCTGCCTTCTGCTTCACCTGAAGAAACCCAACAGCAAACTTTTGACTTCAGAAAACATACATCTTTAATTTTGTTTTTAAAAATCACCAAATCTTAACAAGCCCATCTTTCTAAGATTAAAAAGAATTTAAATTCCTGCCATTATGTAGTAAAAGGTGTGTAAAACTTGGCGGGGCACATTCCATGAAAATTTTGAAGTGTATAGAATTGGCTTCTTGCTGAAAATCAAGTATGCAAGCAACTGGAATTTTCTTATATCTTTTTGACATTTGTTCCCTTAGATAAAATTGTCAGATCATAGATACTTCAACAAAAATAAGCCAGCCTGATTATGTGGCACTAAGGTAGGAATCTGGGGAGGGGAGGAGGAAGCCCCTTGAGCATCAGCAAGAGAAAGGATTCTTTCCCAGGATTCATACTCTCAAAATTTCCATCCTTTGCTACATCTTTTCTAGAAAAACTATATAAAGTTGGTCTAGTAAGCTTAATAAACTCTAGTCTGCAAAACAGGGTCAGCTGTAAGAGTGCTATCCAACAGAAATGAAATGTGAGCCATAGCCATTTAAAAGTAAAATGAAACAGATGAACTTAAATCTGTATGAAAAACATTGAGACATTTCTCCTTCCCCCCCCCCAATAAACTAAATCTTATAAATGTATTTTCCACCTTCAGCACATCTCAATTAGGACTGGCCACATTTATTTCAAGTGCACAATAACCACACATCACTAGTGGCCCAGTTTTGGATAGTGTAGATCTATAAACCTGCTTGAGGCCCTTGATAGCATCAAAGTTAATATTTTACTTCGTTATTTTATTGATATCATTAGCTTTTCTGTATGCATTGGTCAATGATACTATATAGTTGATATTAGTATATTAAGAATAAAGTGAAATAAAAAATGATATTACATACTTTGTGTTCATTTTCAACTTTTGCTCGTCTGGTTGCACAGAAATGATCCCAGACTGAAGGGTCCAAGCCTTCTGGCATGTTGTTAATATTATCCAACTCATCCATGGCTTTCATTAAGTGGGCAAAAGTGTCCTTATTCAACTTGCCAGATCCCGGTCGTTCTCCAAATGGGGTACTACTGGCTGCCTCTGTGTGTGCTTTCTGTTTGTGAATCCTGGTATTAGCAAGAAAAGCCTGTCAACCTTTCACATTCTCTCGAGTCACAACAACAAAATCATTATAAAATAATATTGTCAGCCTAGGCTCATAGGACATACTGCATGGCAATTTTCGTGGGCACATTAGTCCAAAGAGAGAAGCACCCACTTTGTTCTTCCATACTCTGGGTCCCCAGATGTGACCCTAGACTGGACTACAGATGACTAACTTGTCAGTTCTGGCAGCATTACTTTTTCGGGGAAACTTTCAGGCTAAGCAATGCCCATGGGAGTGTGGGTGGTCTTTGGGTCTGTCTGGCAAATCCTCTGCTGATATCCTTTTTTGCAGTAGATATGCTTAGATCTGTGTGAACTGGGGAAGTGTCTCTTATCCACGTAAACATATTAGCTTTGTTTCCCTGTACTGCAGCAGGCACCCTTGTAATCCACAGTGAGACTGGTGTTGCTATCCCAACTCTTAGATAGGAAAGTTCGGCCCTGGAAGAAGCTGTTGGCCCACAGGTAGCTTCAGGTCTGATAGATGGGTGACTTAGGGACTTAAAATCTATTAGTTAACAAAGCTTGTGCTTTCTCCATTGTTGCCTCCTGACAGGTAGCAGGTCTCACTGCTTTCTTCACAAGGAAAGGGTATGTACTTGGGCTTGTGATAACATATCTTTTTAAAAATAGGGAAACCAGGACATGAGTGAAACAGGTAAAATCTCAGACACAAATTAGTCTACTCTTGTGACAAACTTCATGAGTTTTAGACTACAAATCAGCAAAATATAATTCTAAGGCTACTCTCAGTTAAAGCGAGGGGGGCTATTTATAATCCTGGGGATTGAACCCAGGATCTTGTGTATTCTAGGCAAGTACTCTACCACAGAGCCATATCCCAGCCTAGAACTCTTGATAATCACTATTTTCAACCATTTATACTGGCATTTTTTCCCCCAAACTTTGTTCAGAGCATAATCACATAATCTGAAGAAAAGAAATGTCTGATCATGTAAGTTTGAAAAACACTGCTTATTCTTATACTTGGAGATCCAAAGGCCAATAATAATCTCTGAGAGGTTCTGCAGTAAAGGATACTGTTTTAACTTTTTTTTTTTTTTTTTAATCTTGTATTTTCCCCAATTTATGTAGTCCTGGAAACCTGTTAGGTGCAAATCCAACTCATACCATCAGGGGCTGGTATTTGTTGGAACACATCTTGGGGGAAAAAACAGTTTATGAACTTTTATGCTATCTATGACTCAAGAGGAACGACTTTCATGAGTGAAAGACACTTAATGCACTTGCGACACTTATGTAATTACCTTGCTTATGTAGAAATTTTTATTTTTAAATAATGAAAAGGAATATATTATACTTGATTTCCTTTCCTTAAGATGTAGGCATAATCTCAAAAAATGCTGAATTATGATCAAGATGAACATCTTTCCCTAAAAGTTACACTGACAATTTCTGAGAGAAAAAGGCAAAATCTTATAATCCTCCTCTTCATTTAAAGGCCTTTCTTTTTTAGAAACATAATAGCAAAGGAGAAACAAACCTTGGTCGGCGTTTAAAAAGTTTGTAGAGTAGATCCACCTGATGACTGGGAATTTCAGAAAATTCCTTTTTAAAGCTTCGATCCAGAACCTAAGGATAAACACATCATTGCAAGAATGTAACTTTATTCAGAAAACTTTTTTTGTTGACAATATTCTTTAAAATACAGGTTGTAGCACTTTGATGTTAAAAATCCACAAAAACTTTTTTTATAAAATTGAAGATGATTCACAGTGCAAGTATTTCCCAAAGATCTTTTTTTGAATAGGAAGCACCTCAGTGTATTAAAAATGTTATTTCATATGAGAGGTCTTAGAAATCATTCATAAGTTTTCCAAAATAATATTTATTGACAAAACATGCAAGTTTCTCTATTTTCTTCTATTCCATCTCCTTCCATTCCATTCTGCTGTCTTTTTTTGTGCTATCCTATCCCATTCTTTTGCATTAGAAAGCTGCTGGTCAGACCTACTAAACTGATTTCATAACCAACTAAAGGATACTGCACTCTTAAGTTTGAAAAGCCCTGGAAGTTCAATGATCTCCCTGTTTTTTGCATAAAAGAAATCTTAGATGAGAGAAGTTTACAAAAATTCTTTTTTCAGATTTTCAGAAGTGTTCAATGGCACAAAATGAAGTTCATTCATATATGGTAATTATAGTTGGAGAGAAATCTACAAGAGAGTTATATGTCATTCAGCTTTCCTCTAATCCCAAGAGCAACAACTCAACTGCATTATCAGTTGGTGAGACAATGATTCTCACCTTGTCTTCTGCCATTAAGTTGTCATAGTGCTCCTTAAATGCATCCAGTTCTTCTCTAGATTTCTGGATGGCTTCCGAAGTCTGGTTCTAGAATAACAGCAGGAGTAGTTAATTGAAACTGGAGACTTCAGTATAAAACTACAGGAGATTCAAAGATGAATAAAGAATTTTCTAGTACAAAGTAAAGGTGCCGTGTAGCATCTGTTACAGAAAACTTTTATAGAAGGAAGTAAACCATTTGGAGACTTGAACAAACCTCCAGTCACCTGTTCCTAAGGACAGTCAGCATTGTGTAAGTGCATAAGCGTCAGTGACAGAGTGTGTGGATGAGGAAAGTGCGCAGGTTTGAGAGTTCCGTGGACCTGGGTTCTGAGACTGAACGTAAATATGGACAATGGCCAGCCATATGTAGAAACAGAACTCTGACCCACTGCAGCAAACACCTGGCAAACTAAACCAAAACCTTTGCAGTGATTGCCCCACACTGTCAGGACTTGGTCAGTAATTGCCAGCTGTTTAACTTTGGTACCTACTTCCAACTCAGGATCATCTAGAGAGGGCCAAATTTGTTCCCCCAAACCAGGTGGCTTCTAATTGGTTTGCCTGTGCCAACAACATCCAGCCAGGTGTGCTTGTGTCTTCCCTGCTTCCATCCTATGTCTTTCCTGCTCCCCTGCCTGCCTTCCAGACTTGTCAGCCAAAAGCTAGTGATGGCAACCATTCTGCTATGCCAAGCTCAGAATAAATAGCCTCTGCTTATTCTCATTTGGGTGGCCTTCATCTATTTCCACAGTTCATTTCCTGCTCTATAACTTAACCACTGGATGACTGAGGCATGTTACCAGCTCACAGAGACAGTCTTTCTCATTTGTGAAAGAAACCTAGTATCATGCAGGGTTGTTCTGAGGAGGGATATATATATATATATATAGACATTTGTTGTTTAATAGACTCTTAGAAAAAAGTACATATTTCATTTATGATACAATAAGTCACACATTCACAAATTTGCGTTGTTAATACTAACATCTGTCAAAACTTACTGTGTAATAAACATTTTGTATCCTATTTATGGTTGTGTTTAGATGGTTTTCAGAATATGAGCTAACCCAATACTCTTCCATGCTTAGTGAATTTTAAGAGTGCCAAGGCCAGCCTGGGCAATTTAGTAAGGCTGTGACTCAAAATTTTTAAAAAAAATTTAATGGTTGGGGATATAATATGGTGGTAGAGCCCTTGCCTAGTATGAAGCCCTGGGTTCAATTCCTAGTACAGCAAATAAATAAACAGAATTGAAAACAAAAAAGAGCATCCAGTGGTCCAGGGAGAACAATGCTTCCTGAAGAATGGCTTGCAAGCAGCTTAAAATGTTCTAGGTCCCATAGTCAATGGCTTAAAGTTGTGCTTTCAACCATGAACCTCATTTTACAAACCACTTCATATGAAGCCTACATGGTTCTTTTGACTAAATGATTCCAGAAGCTAGATCAGATAACTATTAACAAATTTGAATGGGTACTTTTCACCTGGCCCTGGAGCAAAGTCTTAGACAGGGGTCAAGGACTGCTCGAGGTTAAGAAGGTCTGGGAGCTCTTGCTAAACAAGGAGCAGGGCTGTCAGGAAAGCCTGGCACTCAGGGATCAGGCTCTGTACTTACTTTCTCCTGCTGCTTCCTTACAAGGTAGTTGTTCAGGAAAATTTCTCTGGAGGTTAATTCCTCTTCCAACAGTAGAGAAAACACAAGGTTATTTATTTTCAATTCCTCCTGTAAAAATATTTTAAAAGGTGTGTTTCTGTGTGTGTGGGGGGGTTATGATTGATACTCCTGAGAAAAGACTACTAATGGTCATAGACTTGACTCAAACAAGTTCATGACATATACATAAGAAAACTCTTAAAATAAAAAGAATAGAGACTTAACAGTATCTGGTTATTTTTCTTTCATCATTTCATTATAAGGTAAAACATACAGAAAAATACACAATGTGAACTCATAGTTTAATGAATTATTATAAGGGCCAACATCATATATCATAAGCACTCAATTCAAGAAATAGAATTTTGCCACCCTAAAAGCTCCTTACAGGTGTTCCCATCAAAATCTCAACTCCACTACTAACCAGTGCTTTGACTTTCATAATAACAACCTCTCTGAAGCTTAAGTGTGCTTATTTAGACACTACAGTATAACCTGTCCATTAAAATTTTTTTTGTCATGTCTTCTAAATCTCTTATAATCTTCATGTCCCCTTTCCCTTTCTTTCCTCACAATTCATCTGTAGTAACTGGGAGCTTGTCATTCCACCTCGCCTTCGTTTTACCCAGTGCATACTCCTGGTTCTTCAGCTTTTGTATTTCCTGAAAATTGGCAGCTGGATCCAGAGGCCTGATGAGAACCAGCTTTGGTCCTTTTGGAAGACCATAGGTGATACTATGGTCTGTGATCAGGAGACACAATATCTGGTCATCATTCTATAATGATCAAAGCTGTAGTTGCTCAATGCCTAGGTCCATAGATTCAACAAGAGTTGAAAATGGTAATAGTCTGTTTTAACTTTCCGTTTTCACTTATTAATTGAAATATTTTCCTAGAGAGTGCTCCTACTTATGTATTGTTTGGTTACCTGAGGGCACAGTTCATATACGAAAGGCCAAATAGATACTTTATGCTTTCCTTTATTAGTTTTATATGAGAATTGGTTATCATCCTCTGAAGATAACCAATTGGCATTTTCTGTTTAAAAAAAATCCCAAATTTGTGAATTTAAACAAATTTGATGGGTTTCATTTAATTGCAATTATATCTTCTTTGAATCTTAAATGTTCTCATTTAAAGGAGATGTATGTGGGTGGCTCTTGAATCCTTTGGATATTATCTAGTAGTCTGATAGTACCCTTTTTATCTTGTACAACTAGGTGTTCTAACTAGTTGCAACCTAGGTGTAGCTGTTTTTTCAAAATGACAGCTTTACTGAAGTATATAATTCACATACCATACAATTCACCATTTATAGTATACGAGTCAGTGGGTGGTCTTCAGTATATTTAGAGTTGTGTTACCATTGTCACAGTCAATTTTAGAACATGTCATCACTTTAGCTGTCATTTCCCATTTCCCTGCACCTCCCAGAAGCCTCCTTCCTCCCTGCAAGGTAGCTACTTCTCAGGGCACCCAAAGAGGAAGTCTGCCAAGTGAAAGGGAGGAGGTGCAACAACAGGAGGCTGAAGAGGGACCCAGGGACTCAGGCTTGCAGAACCTTGGTACCAGTAAAGGGTGTTGGTCATTATCCTAACATCAGCCAGGTCCCTGGAGGTTCCTTAAAAGAATAAGTCACAGAAGCAAAGCTTCTGTTTACCTGGTTGATAACCATCTCGGCCTTCACTCTTCTTTCAAAGAGTTTTTTCAAAAGTTCATCAAAGCTCTGTGTGCTTTCTTGAATTGAGTTTTGAAGTTTCTTCAATTCTGTTTCTAATGACTGAAAAGAAGGCCATAGTGAAGTTAGAGTTTAGGAATATAGAGTGCTCCCAGGATGGGATGTTGCATTTTGCACCTAGGGAGGGGCAGGAGGAAGGCAGAGCTTGTGAGGTGTTCTGAGACCTCAGTCCCTTCAACAAGAGATTCTCCACTTGGATACTGGGTGTCTGGGGTTTTTGCTTTAAAAAGATTTCTTTGCAGAGGAGGGATAAAAATCACTAATGATAGCTAATGATACAGCCAAAAGTAGGCCTAGTAAAACAAACTGCAGTAAATTTTTTCAGAAAACCGACTCCTTTTATAGGATAGTAATTTCCAGATATATGATTTGGCCCTAAAAAAAATTTCTTGCTTTTATTTTTCCCCCAAGCTTTGAATTCCTTTTCATGAAAATTTTATATATTTTTCCACAGTATTTTATTGTGCATTATAGTTGTACATAATGTTGGAATTTGTTGAATATTTGAATATGCACAAAATAGAACAATATAATTTGGTAAATATGCACTCCCCTGCATATTCTCCCTTCCTCTCTACCACCGGGGGTCCCTTTCCTCTACTGATCTCTTTTTTTTTTTTCATGACATCCCCATTCTGCCACATTTCATTTCCTTTTTTTCTCTCTAGCTTCCATGTATGAGAGAAAACATACAACCCTTGAACTTCTGAGTTTGGCTTATTTTACTTAACATAATGGTTTCAAGTTTCATCTGTTTTCCTGCAAATAACATAATTTCATTTTTCTTTTTTTATTCTTAATTACATATCTTTATTAACAAAAAAATATAAGACAGACACCAATGTCAGACTTGACGCTGAACCACCCTATTAAATGTAGGAATAGGAAAACAAAATTTTGACCATCTTAAGAATAAGATCTGCCTTGCTATTTTAATTTCAATGAGTTGGAATCTAGACACCACATATATTCCTGGTATTTGCCAGTTTGACTCAGCTGTTCTTCTAGAACTACTATTTCTGAGATTCTGACTTAACACAGTATACTACACACTTTTTTTTGGTAGTTTAGAAAGGTGTTAAGTAGATGCATTCATATCGGGGATTTTAGTCTGTTTTTATTGATTCTACTCTGTCAGCATTATATTCACAAAGTGTCCTGGGGATTATGGTGATCTCAGTTACTAAGATCCATACAAGCTATCTTACAATTCTCTGAAGAAACCTTCAACTTCAGGTTTTGCTCCGTGCAAATTTTACAAAGCGACACCTGCTAGCTATGAAGATTAGGTATCTCCCAGATATTCTACACTCTCTTAAAATCTAACTTAATATCATGATCATTACATTAATGCATAATAAAATAAAATAACAAAATATTACAAACCATATCTACTATGATAAATGAAAGAATTTCTATGTTTTTACTACTATTTTTCCTATAGTAGTAAAAGTACTATTAGTATTGACTCAAGGATAAGAAAATAATGACCCAAAGACCAAGGTAAAAATAATTTTTTCATTTCAGACCAGGAAAACCTGATAAGGTAAAAACAAATGATTACAAAATAACTGCAATTATAAAGTTAAATTACAACTATAATTGCTAGTTATTAAAGAAAATGAAGCCCTAGATTTGAGAAAGAGTAATCTACTTTCAAAATGTGTGCTAATACTAGACAGAAGGCCAGAAAAATTGAGGAATATTTAACTGTTTTGTACTCAACTGTTGAGTACAAAACATTCTTGGTAAGTAGAGAGTTAAGGTTTTTCCATATAACTAATATAAAAATTAGAGTATTTACAATCTTACTCCACACTTAATGTACCTTCTATTTGAGTTCTTCTTCAATGTGGAAAAGAAGGAATTTACTTTGGGACTTCTGAAAGCTTTATTAAAGTCAAGTAGCAAAGAAGAGAAGACAAGCATTTTTCCAGTCTACAATCATGAGCAAGAAGTTGAAAAGACCATGTCAGCTGAATCCATCCTGGATGAATTTCTATGACTAGTTATTGTCCAAGGAAAGAGGCCATGGAGTCATCTGGCCTCTGCCGTTTCATTCTATAGGTCTCCATTTCCTCTTTGGTGGGTTCCCAAGTTTCATATATGTTATTGTAAGGCCGTTTCCCCTCATCAACCTGCATGGTCTCCTTGACATGAAAAAGGGGTGCCTCCCCTGCATTCAGTGTCTTTTTCAATTTTTCATGTTTCTTCATCATCACTATCTGAGCTGCTCTTTCGGTGTTTCTTCTTTTTCTTTTTCTCTTCTTTTAGTTTTTCTTGATTTATTTCCATGAGGGTTTGAGTTTTTTTCACAGATTTCTTCTCCACTTACATCATTTATAATACATTCATCTGAATTAACAATATCCTTCCCAGCTTCTCCAGTACATTAGGAATACTTGAAAAAAGAGTGACAGCATTTGTATCCCCATCAGCCATCCTTCCAGTAAGATCCCGAGATAGTGTAT